GAACATATAATCATAGTATCCTAAGTGGTTGGTTGTCATGCACAGTATATATTAAATAACTCATTTAACCAAAATTTACTTTGGGTGGAGAGAAGGTAGGTGCGTTTTGGTCAGTGTTCTTATTGCTGAACACCATAGTGTACCTGACACATAAAAAGGGGGTTTAATAAACATAAGCGAGGGGTGTTTTAAGAGGATTCAGGCCATGGTCAGCTGGTTCCAAGGCAGCAACATGACAGAGGAAGTGCCTGGTGGGGCAACGCTGCTCAATCCGTGGCAGGCAGGAAGCAGCGCAGGGAACAGACTCCAAGGCCACATCTCCATGACCCACCCAGAAGGGCCTTCACTAATTCCCCAGGCAAAGGCCAAAGCCATCAAAGTGATACTCCACTCTTACACACAGAACAAAATAAATGCCTGAGTGAAGCTTGAGGAATGAGAGCTACAGCACTCCCTTGCTATTGTAAGGTTCGACTTTTGTGGATTCACTGTTCTGTGGGTTTAAAAAAAAATTAATCTAAATTATTTATTGCAAATTTTTCTCTGCATTACAGGATTGTGTGGTATACTGTATACAGTATACATGTTGTTAAAATTATTTAGGTTTATGAATTTAGAAAATGGTTAAGAACATTAGAAGTGGTTTTAAAAGTGTGAGAAAGGTTTGTAAGAGTGTGGCAAGGGTTTATAAAGCCTTAAAATATATATAAATACTAAAATAAATATAATGTTGTACTTCACTGATTTTCACCTATCACAGGGTTGTCTGGAACGTAACCTCTGTGGTAAGTGAGGGACCACTATAAATTCTTGTCTTCTGAGGTAAGAAGCAAGGAGATTTCTGCCCAGAAGGCTCCAAGCCTCAAGGCAAGGAGCATCCTGCAGGTATCAGCCTGCAGGATGAGACAAGAAACCCAAGGAATTCTTTCATGCTGCTCTAAGCAACCTAGTGGGGGAATAAAAGAAACCAGAGAAGAGTAGGACTGGGGCTGAGGAAATACTCCAAACTGGATAGGTTTAGGAAAACGAGCTCAGGCTCCACTTTAGCGGGTGATCAGTATCTAAGGAGATGCTATCTATGGTGGAATGCAGCCACAAGTCAAGGCAGATGACATTATCATGAGACAGTTACAGCCGGTTTGGGTCTGCTATCCAAGATAGGTTCTATGAAGCCCTAGTGCTCATGGATTTTGTAGTGGATTTGTAACTGGTGATCAACTTGTTACATCCAGCTGAATTGAACTAGCATGGTGCTGGGTGTGGGAGGCCCGGCTGAGGATTGTTGCCAGCAGCGTAAGAGGCAGAGCTGGAGAAACTGTTGAAAGGCTGTTAGGGAAGCTGTTTTGGAGAATCTGTTGGAGCTGTTAGAAGCTCCTGGTTTTCTTAGGCTGATTTGCTGGAGGATCTTGCTATGCTGGCTTTGTTGATGAACTTGGTTGTTCTTGTCGGAGGAGAGCTCAGGACCTTCATTGTCATTGAGAATGGCCAGGGCTCATTTTGGAGGAGCTCTGGTCCACATCTTGAGCATCGCTTCTTGGCTCCAGAGGGGAAAATGGTACACTGCTCAACCTCACAGAGAAGCTTGTCACATTGGCTTTCCTTTTTTTTTTTTTTTTCTACAGTTTTATTGATAAACAGATAGCAACGAGACAGGTTCAAATAAAATCAGAAGTACAGTTTCAACAAATAATACACTGCATATATTCTTCTTAGTGGTTAATTGCTGTACAAGATGCGGACTTGTGATCCTATTTACAAACACCATT